GGCTATTGTGTGCATTAAGGATTAAGGGTGGTCTGCCCAAGCCATGGGTGAGGAGGACCTTTGCCTCTAATTCTACTACCAGAGTTCATCTGGAGGTCATCATGGAATTTCACATTTTTGATAGCAGGGGAACCATGGGTAGCATATGGGGTTTTTCATATTTTGGATATGAAGGGGACTATGGGTAACACTGCCACTCGGGAAAGAGCTGAATTGAGCCCAGTACTTTTGGATGAGGAGGCATTAATGGGGCAACGGGCGATTCGCACATGGGCCAGGAGACAGAGACTCTGGCCAACTGGCCCTCTGGACCCACAGGGGCTTTGGAGGTGCCTTGCCAGTGAGTCACCTGTCTTTACACACTAAACACACACACATGCACATGCACACCCCACACGCCATTGCCCACTCCCATGGACAACCTCTTCCCTCCTCTGTGGAGCAGCAACCATCACCCATTGGTGATGGTGGAGAAGTCACTGGTTTCCATGCAGAAAATCCCCAGCAGCACCAGTTGAGAACAATTGGGAAGAATCACTTACAAACAATCCAGACTTATCTTTTTCTTGGGGACAATAGCTACATTATATTAGGATTGCAATACTTCAGTTGTGCAAGATCCCAAGAGTTGCTTTGCAGTACTAATACACAAATGCACTCAGAGATTTCCATTACACAACCCCTGTGCTGGATCTGGGCCTTTATCGCCTTTCCTTTGGGAGCCCAGTTCACCCCCCCCAGCCTTTTTCTCGTGTCGCATTGCCTTGTTTTTATGTCCACTCCCAGTGAGACCACCCTGGGTTTAATTTCCATGCAGAAAGGACGCTGGCTTGGTCTTGGACCCTTCCTGGGTGACATATGGCAATGCCCGATGCCCCTGCCCCAGAAGGAGCTGCACAAAAGCCGTCCTCCAGAAGACCTTCCCTCTCCATCTCTCTCCTGCCTCACTGTCCCCCAATGCCTTTGCACTGAACTCTCTGCTTGCCCTTGGTTGGACTCTAATAACATCTCTCTCTCTCTCTCTCTCTGTATGTGTCTGATCTTCTCCTTCCTTCCTTCCTTCCCTCCCTTCTTCTCGGTGGCAGCTG